TGTTTTGTTTTTCTTAATAGCATATATTTTGGAGATGTTTCCACAGCAGTACAAATAGGTCTGCCTCATTAATTTTAACAGTGCAGTATTATATCATATGGATGTGCCCTACTTATGTAATTAATTACTCACTAATTGGTGGACATTAAAATTGTTTCCATTATGTTTGTTATTACAAACCATGTTGCAACCAGCCTTCCGGCTCGTACATCCTTGTACACATATTTTGGCAGGATAGATTGCTGGAGGTAGACTTGCAGGGTCAGTGGCAAAGATCAAGCCATATTTTTCAAGCCATTTTTAGCTCTTTAGCATTTCTGTGTTTGCTTATTACACAAGGGATCAAACTCTGCTCATCTCATGACTCATCTCTATCAATGGTTTTCAACTCTGGCAGTATGTTAAATTCACTTGAGAAACTTAAAAATTATGCAAATCCAGGCTGTGCGCTGACCCACTGAATCAGTATCTTTTGGGAGTAGGGCTCAGGCTTTGGATTTTCAGAAAAATTTAGAAAAGTCTAATGTGTAGCAAGGATTGAGAATCATTGATCTAAACAAACAAAATAAAGCAGAACTGTAGAACATTTCGAGAAAATATTTAATATAACCAATTATGGAAATAAATAGTCATTGATTAATCTTTAATTGTTTATTCTAAAAAAAAGCTTGAATAAGTCAAATTGTTCAGGTGCAAATACATTTGATATTTAATAATTAATTGCACTTTTATCTTTTAAAAATGCTTTCTTTTTTAAAAAATAGTTTTTTTAAATCTCAGCGCATCTTCCCTTCAAAGCTGTGAGCTTGGTGGATCAGGAATGACCTTGTCCATTTTACAGTCCAGGAAGCTCATGGGGGTAAAATGATGTTTCTGAATTTGTTGTGCTTGGGAATAATCTGAGGATCATTTAAAATGCACATCTTGATTTAGTAGGCCTAGAGTGGGGCCTGAGATTTTGCATTTCTGACAAGCACCTGGGTGGCACTATGCTGCTGGTCTGAGGACCAATCTGATTAGAATACCTAAATAAGAGTCAGTGAGCTCAGTACAAGGGCAAAGGAAATTTCCTAGAAGAAACTACATGTCATGGAAATGATACATACTTGCCATAACAAAGGAGTGAAAAGAGAAGGAAAAACAGAATGGGGAAGGGAGGGAGACAAAGAGGCTCTTCCTCTACATCAGCTAAGCAAGGATGTTCTTCATCTTAGGGTCCCATGCCCTAAACAGAAGCATGTCCTGAATATGGCATTGAAGGCATTCTAAGCTGTTGGTTGTCAAACCATCTATCATTCTGGAGCTTTGCCAATATTGTTTCTTGCCTCTGACTATATATAACCTTTCCTTCTGGGGGATCCTGATGGAGCTCAAGGACCCTTTAGTTCTCATTGCACTGCTTTCCATGCCTCACTCACAGCCCAATCCTCCCTTCAGGAACCAGAGGCCCCAACTCGGAGCTTGACCTGTATCTGCCCATCACCTGCTCTTTTAATACGATGGTCTTCCTGAGGAGACCTTGGAGCTTAGGTCTGGACCCCATGCCCATCACACATGAAGGAGATGCTCCATGTCACTTGGTGACATCCACATAGTACCAATGACAGGGCTGTCCTCTTTGGGTGGTGCCAATATGTTTTTCTTTTAATTTTTAGAGATTCTTGTCCTATGTAGAATAAGAATAATAAACACAAATAGATGTTTCTGGTTCTCCCTTCTCTTAATATTTGTGTCTTCCTTTAACTTAATAAAGATCTATGTTATTCTTACAGGAAATGTCTTATTCTTCACAGTTCCCAACAGAAACACAAAGATAAAAGTACTTGTATCTTACAAACACAAATCAGATTTTTAAAGCCATGTTTTTGCCATTTGGGAAAAAAGCTAGAAGTGATAATAAAATGACAAAACAATAAATTAAAAATATTATTTTTAATGGGCCATTTTCTCTTGAAAACATTGGCTGCCAAGTTGGACTCCATAACTTTGTCATATGTGCAAGCTGTAGGGTCTAAGAGGTACTGCTGGAGTAGGAATTAGAAGTGGGAATGCTGTCCGTGCTGGAGGGAAGATTCTGATGGGGATTAGTAATCACAGATTACTTAGTAATCACAGATTACTAAGATATGTAGCACTGAGACATGGCTATATTTTAGTAATCTTAGTATTTCCTTTGTGCAATACTCTTAGTATCTGTTTTCCCCATTAGGTTACAATCCTTGAGGAAAGGGATTTTGTCTTCTTGTTCATCGTGTTATTCTTAGCACCTAGTGCAATGCTGGTGCATAGTAGATGGTCAATAAATATTTATGGAATGAATGAATAAATGAATGAATGAATCATGAAAAAAGAAACACTGCTATTGTTATGGAGTTAAACTAAAGTTAAAACAAAACCTAGCCAGAAGGGTGGGTTGTGCTTGTAATCCCAGCTACTTGGGAGGATGAAGTGGAAGGATTGTTTTGCCTAGGAATTTGAGGCTGTGATGAGCTATGATCACTCCACTGCCTCCAGCCTGGCTACAGAGACTCCATCTAAACAAACAAACAAAACAAGCCTACAAAGCTTAGATACAGAAAAGAGATTCCTGATTGAAAAAGTTGGAGATGTATTGCTTTAGTCACGCAAAAGATTAAAACACACACACACAACCTTACCCCTTTAAATAATTTCGGCATTGTTATTTAACTCTCTGTAGCTCCTATGCCTCTTCCATTTCTAGAACTTGGAACTGTTGTCATGGAAATTAATATGATATCAAAAAGCAAATACAGTGACTTTATCATAGGAACAATGACCTCCCATATTCTTTTTAAACACAACTGGTAAACCAATAATACCCTAAAACATGATTTTAGAAATATGCTCTACCTCAAAGAGAAGTTGTGGGAATGATTTTCCAGCATGATTTGATATAAAATATTCTGAGCTCCGTGGAGTAAAAGCATAATTTGAAAAAAAATAACAATTTATTCATTCTTACATTCAGTAAGTTTTTACCATGTGGGATGCAATATGGCACAGTGGAGAATGAACCCTGGAGCCAGACTGTGTTCATATTCCCACCGTTGTCTAGCTGTGGCATCTTGGGCAAATTGCTTAATTGCTCTTTGCCTCAATTGCCTCATCTGTTAAATGGAATAATTATACCACTTACTTCAGTTAAACAACTTGAATGAGTTAGTGTTTGTAAAGAACTTAGAACAGTACCCAGCATATAATAAGCACTAGGTAAATTCTTTTAAATAAACCCTTGTGATGTGTTAGGCACGTGTAAGTAGTGAACTAGTATCTGTTAAACACTTGTTGCAGACCAAGTAATAATCATTAAGCAATTTTGCATCTATTCTTATAATAACTCGGGTGCAAATACTCTCATTCACTCCTTTAGCCAATATCTATTGTCTCTTGGATGTTAAGAGCTGTTCTAGGTCCTTGGATACAGAATTGTGGGATTCATTTTTTTCTTCAACTCTTAAGTTCAGGAGTACATGTGCAGGATGTGCACATTTGTTACACAGGTAAACATGTGCCATGGTGGTTTGCTGCATAGCTCATCCCATCACCTACGTATTCAGCCAAGCATCCATTAGCTATTCTTCCTGATGCCCTCTCTCTCCTACTTCCACCCTGACAGAACATGCGGTATTTGGTTTTCTGTTCCTGTGTCTGTTTGCTATGGATAATGGGGATTCATATTTTTAAAAACCACTATTTTATTAACTAAGGAGCATCAATAGCTCCCCAGATTTCAGACCAACTCTAAACTGTAGCACACCACACTCTTATTTAAAAATACTTTCTCATAGTATCTGAAGTTTTAAGTTACTATATACATACATACATACATACATAGTCCTTTGGAGAATTACTTTTTCCTGTTTGTTCTACTTCATTATCATTGTTAGAAACTATATTAATTTTCTATTCCTGTGAAGTGTCTCTCAAGCCTGTTTTTTAAAAGTTTTATTTATTTTTGTTGATCAGCAGGTGTGTTGTTATACATGCCTTAGTGGATTCCAACTTCCATGACCACTCTCCTGCTTCAAACCTATTTTGTTTTCCGCTAAAACTTGATTTTTTTAGGTTACAAAAATAATACATGTGTTTACTCTTTTTCTATTAAAGCAAAGTTACAATGCATAACTGTATGTTTCCATACCTATCTTTAAAAACTTGCATAAATTTCTTTAGGATAGATTCCTAGAGGAGAAATTGCTTGGTCAAATGGAATGTGTATTTTAATTTTGACTGTTATTACCAAAATATACCCTAAGAAAAGGCTTTATTGATTGACAGTCTCCCATGCAATAGTGCACATCAGTGCTCTTTCCCCTCAACACTATTTTTTTAACATTTAAACAATGTTTGTCAATATGATGGGAAAACATTGATAAATTGGAGTGGTCTCAATTTAATAATGAGGATGATTTGGGGTATGTTTATTGGTGTTATTTGTATTTATTCCTTTCTGAATGATTTCTTTACATCCTCTTCTTTCCATCAGTACAATGAAGCTCTGAGTAAATAACAGATGTGACTAATAAGCATGTTGCAAATATTCTTCCAGGTTATCACATCTTTATGGTGTCTACAGCCATGCAAAGTCAATTATTTTCTTAATAGCTTCTAGATTGCGCTATGATTATAAAAGTCTATTCTACCCTAACGCTATGTTTAAAAAATATTATTTTCCCTATATTGTTTAAAATATTTAAATCTTATATCATCTCGAATTTATTTTGTGCAAAGGAGAAAACCAATTTTTTAATATACCAAACAAATTTGACATAATTGACAATCATGACATCCGATGAAAATCTGTGCTTGAAAAGGTGCATTGTTTTTAAAAGCACATATCAAAAGTTAAATACAGTCTTGCCATTGTGAGAGTTCTGGAACTCTCTACAGCCAATGCACGGTCCTTTTCTGGGACAGTTTCCCTCTATACTCCAGGTCTCATATATACCTGCCAAATAAAAATGCTATTGTGATAGCAATAGTGATTAGAAATAATACTTCATTTTCAATAATCAACAAAAGTCAGATATCCTGAAAATCAAATAATTGGCAAGTGAGTTTATATTTTAACCTGATAATTTCCTTCTTATAAATGTTTAATTGTATGCTAGACATAAATCACTCATGGAAGCACTTTATAGTGGTACCTTCTTTTCTGGCATCCATTTTCAGGCTTACAGAAAATGGGTAGGCCAGACGCAGTCGCTCATGCCTGTAATCCCAGCACTTTGGGATGCTGAGGCAGGTGGATTACTTGTGGTCTGGAGTTTGAGGCCAGCCCTGGCCAACATGGTGAAACCCCACTTCTATCAAAAATACAAAAATTTGCCAGGGGTGGTGGCAGGAACATGTAATCCCAGCTATTTGGGAGGCTGAGGCAGCAGAATCACTTGAACCTGGGAGGCAGGGGTTGCAGTTAGTCAAGATGGTGCCATGGCACTTCCAGCCTGGGTGACAGAGCAAGACTCTGTCTCAAAAAAAAAAAAAAAAAAGAATTCTGGATGAAAAGTTCTAGAGATGTGTTGCACAACAATGTGCATATAGTAAACACTAATATACAGTATACTTAAAAATGGATAAGATGGTAAATACATGTTTTTTACCACAATTTAAAAAAGAGTCAATTATGTCTTGTGGTTTATGTTTTTAATCAAATATTTGAGTACAGATACCTTGTTGTGGAGGATACCAAGAAGTGCAACTGATGGTTTCAATTCTCAAGGAACTAACTAGCAATCAAGTTGGGAGAAAATATTAAGTATACATCAAAGTTAATTAACAATCTCAGGCAATAGAATGATACCAAATAAGGAGAAGAGACATAAAGCCTTCTAGGCAGGAATCTCTTTGGGCTACAGTGATAGAAATATTTGTTAGGTACTTAAATGGCTTTCAAACCATTTTAATCTGTATTTTCTAAGTTGACCCTTTTAATAAATCTAGGAGGTATTATCTCCATTTAACGATGAAGAAATGAAAGCTCAGAGGTTGTAATTTGCCCAACTTCACATGGCAGAGCTGGGAACTAGACTCAATGTCTTCCAGTGCTTATTCCTAGTGGGATTTATTTAAATTGGCACTGAAGATTTGCTGCCAAAAAAGTTTTCAGGCTAAACAGAATTCAAATATGCTAGGATTACATAGTTTTTTATTTGCTAAAATTAGAATTACTCTGTCATCCTGATAAAAAGCAACAAGTAACTTTTGGTACAAAATAACAGATCATTTTTTCTTGCTATTTACTGGTTAGGAAAACTCAAATCATACTGTGACAGAATAAGGTTGAGCATACAAGCTTCAATTTCACTATTTATACACAGCCATTTAGTCAACTGCAGTCCCATGAAAGACATTCCTTATCCATCATGTCTGACACCATTCTTTAAAGTCATAATGCACATACTCTATTTGAGATAGTTCTGACCTGACCCAGGTATAACAGGGAGCAACACTAACACAGCAGAATAAAGGCAGTGAATAAGAATTTAGAAGCAGTTATGAGGGCTAAGACTATATGAGTTACACATTTTTTAAAACCACATCCTGCTATTTCAGTAGATTGACTTCTATCCAGAAAGAGCAGGAGCATTAAGTCTGTTCATACAATAACCCTATCTGATTACCCAGGGTCAAGCTACTGTTTATCTTTGCCAGACAGACCCCATATCCTGAGTTGGGGACCTCAAACGTTCCGTGTTTTTTTGCCAGTTACCTGGTGTTCCACTTCCAGGCAATCCAGGCTCTGACATTCTTTCTACATATCACCTAAACCATAACAAAAATACTCAATTTTTTAAAGTATATAGTAAAAGTAAATAGACAGAGGGGTCAGGAGCTTTGCCTTTATTTTCCTTCTCAAGAGTGCGCGACATTTTGCAAATGAAGGGCAGTGCTGCCCTCTACTGCTGAATGTTGAAATGTTTTTAATACACTTCGAGGTTCCTAGTAGCTTTGTGTAATAGATAACGACAATCTATTACATTGTTTTAAAAAAACCCTTTAAGAATGATTTAAAAGACTGTGTTCTTAGCAAACACATTGAATTTGTTTCCTTCATTATCTCTTCATCTTCCTTCATCTTGTACCAAAGAGTAGGATTTTAGGACATGACCCAACCAAAAGAAGGACATTACAACTTAGGGGAAAAAGCTGAACAGGGCCCTAGAAGTAAGAGACTGTAGTGGTGACGATTTGAAGGAGAAACAGGGCAAGAAGAGGAAATTTTCTTCTGACTTCAAGGTCTGTGGCCTTCCCATTCTTCTGTTATTTGGAGTGTCTTCATTTGTCTTTTGCTAAGGTAATCCATTTCCTTCTTTATGTTTCTTCATAGAAGCCTGCTGCCCCAGGATGTGGAGAGAATAGTGTTTCTAAAACACTTTCCATTCTTCTGAAAAAGATAATATAGCTATACAAAGGGCTATTGTTAACATTTACATTTTAATTAATTAATAAAATTGTCTTACCTTTAAATTGTCTTGAGATTTTATAGATTACTACAGACATCTTGGAGGGCTCTAGATATTTTGAAAACTGTGTTCTCTGCTTTCTTTTCCATTTGAAAAATATTTCAGAGTACATGCCTGCAAGAGGCCAGATCAGACAGACTTCAAAGAGAGTTTGCCTAACCACTACCACCCTACAGCAACCCAGGGACTAATTTCATCATATCTATGACAATAGTAATAATAATAGTTTCTATAACTGTGTTAAATGTGTGCATATCAACACAAAGCAAAATTCTTTTTAAAAATAATTTACAGTTAAGAATATTAAAACTCAGGCATATCAAGAAATTTGCTAAAAGTTTCAAAACCAGTAAGAGGCAAAGCTAGAATCTGATTCCAGGCCCAAGCCCATGTATTATTCTACTATGCTGCTTATAATTTAATAAAAAAAAAAAGCTAAACAAATCCCAAAGGCAAGTGCTTGTAAACAACATCTGTAATGATAATGATGGTCCCAGTTAATAGCTGAGTACTAAGTGTCAAGTACAATTCAGAGTTCATTTAATCCTCATAGCAACTGATGAGATAGAACTATTATTATTCCCAGATGAGGAAACTGAGGCATACAGAGGAAATCTAGTTCCAGAGGCCATGTGTTTAATCATTATGCTATACTGCTTCTTAAGCAATGTACAAAAACTATACAGCACAATTTCTAAATGGTGCCATGGAACTGAATCACATTCAACAAGTAGATAAAACCATTAGTAGTTTTCAGTCTTACTGATCTATCAGCTATACAAAGATTTCAGCAGCTTTAAATAAAGTTCATATGTGGGTACCCACTTCAGGAACTAACCTTAGACCCTGTCCACTCTATGCCCTTCTATGAGGAAGCAGAAAAATACCCTCATTTGGTTCAATCCATGTGTGCAGATTAGGGGAGGAGTCATATATAAGGGAGGGAAAGAGAACTGAGGGAAGAGAAGAAGACATGGTTCCATGAAGGCACACTCAGGAAACAAGCCAGTTAATTTGAGAGGAGAGGTTGATCAATAATCACTTTCCTTAGAAAGAAGAGTTAAACTCATTACAGTGGGAAGACGGTACCACCTCAGGAGCCCTATACTTATTGCACACTATTTAGCCACACTGTGACTCTAGAACAGATCTCCTCATACAGCTTTGGTTTTTAAAGAAATATTTGCTCAGCACCTAACTCAGCTTCCAAATAATATCCTACCCTTAGTGCCAGCACACACCCAAATATGACAATTCCAAAGCACTTTGTGCTTCAGTGCAAAGAATGATAAACTTGTCCTTCCCCTGACTTGTTCCTAAGTTTAGACCTTCTGGGTACTCAGGGGCAAGACTGAGTAAAATAAACATGTGTGGCCAGGTGCAGTGGCTCATGCCTATAATCCCAGCATTTTGGAAGACCGAGGCAGGCTGATGGCTTGAGCCCAGGAGTTTGAGACTAGCATGGCCAACATGGCGAAACCCTGTCTCTACAATTAGCTGCACATGTTGGTGCATGCCTGTGGTCCTAGCTACTTAGGAGGCTTAGGTGGGACAATCACCCGAGCCCTGGAGGCGAAGGCTGCAGTGAGCTGAGATGGTGCCACAGCACTCAAGCCTAGGCAACAGAGTAAGACTCTGTCTCAAAAAAAACAGAAACAAAAAACAAAAAACCAACCACGTGTAGATTTGCTTAGGTTCATGCAGTGTGCACTGCTCTTCTTGCCTGTCCAGCCTGCAGGCTTCAGATTTCTAAGACAGTACGTTCTAAAGGAATTCATTCCAGGTGATGCTCTTGCTGTATGGGTTCCCAGTTCCTCTTTTCCAATTCTTTTGAAGAAAAGGTTTCAGGGAAGGGAGCAGGGGAAGGCAGAAGGTAGATTCTAGGGGGACTCCTGAACAGACGGTCATAAGGAAGGCAGGAGGCAGTGAGAATATCTGCCTCTTTCTCTGACCCTTACTGCCCTTACCCTGGGCACTCACTTTTTCTGGTTGCCTACTTGTTTGGGCAGTAGCCAGCTGAATTATCCATTCAGCAAGGAGATAGCCTTGAGTCAATTCTAAGCCAAAGTGTTAAAATTAGCGATGACCTGAAAAGCATTCTGTTTCTTTCAGTACTGGCATTAAATTAGAGAGGCAGCCCACAGAGCTCAAGACAGAAAGGTACTGCACTTAATCTCCAAGAACCTCACACGCCCTAGGAAAGCAGTTTGAGACTTAGATCTTACTTAATATTATAGGCTTCCTTCTCCCCCAGTAATTGCCTTTTTAAAAATTTAGAGCAAATATTGTGGGGACATGGAGAAAACCTGCACCTGGCACCTTTTGTCCCTATTAGCATTGGCTTGATTATGGAGCTGCTTAGGATGTTAATAAATATTTGGTCTTAGCCAACAGTGTTTAGGCAACCTAGGGTTGTTTTCCTTCCAGGGAATGACGTAGGGAGTGACCATGATGATATTGCTGGCCAACGCAATATCATCCTTTTAAATCAAATCCCACAAGGCCCCTCTTAGCAGTTGCCCCTGCTTTTGGAAACACTGAAAGTTCATTGTCATTTGACCTTCAGTGTTGAACCTGCAATGCTTAAAGTGTTATTAGTGAAACACTATGGGCAGTTACCTTTAAAACCAGAGGCAATGTTTCTGAAAGAAGTAGATGACACAAAAAGTTGACAGATGTTACACAAAGTTCTTTTGCTTGTGTTTATTACTCTGAATGAAAATTCATTTTGAGATTTATAGTATTATCCAATGAATAGACGCTGTGATATTGTTTCCTTCTGAAATGTCAAGAGAATTGACTCTTTCTTCTACCATTTGTTGAAGGCTTGGTAAATAGAAGAAATGTAGGGAGACTTACAGGTCCCTAGCCAAAAGAAGCTACATGGCCAACAAGCATATAAAATACTCAGCATCACTAGAGAAATGCAAATCAAAACTATAATGAGATACCATTTTACACTAGTCAGAATGGGTATTATTAAAAAGTCAAGAAATAATAGATGCTGGTGAGGTTGTGGGGAAAGGGGAATGCTTATACAATGCTAGTGGGAACGTAAATTATTTCAGTAACGTGGAAAGCAGTATAGCGATTTCTCAAAGAACTTAAAACAGAATTACCATTCGACCCATTAATCCCAGTATTGGGTCTATACCCAAAAGAATATAAATCGTTCTACCATAAAGACACATGTACTTGTATGTTCATGGCAGCACTATTCACAATTGTAAAGACATGGAATCAACCTAAATTCCCATTACCAGCAAACTGGATAAAGAAAATATGGTACATATACACCACAGAATACTATGCAACCATAAAAAAGAAAGAGAGCATGTCTTTTGTAGCAACATGGATGGAGGTAGAGGGCATTATCCTAAGTGAACTAATTCGAAAGAGAAAACAAAATATCCCATGTTCTGCCTTATAAATGGGAGCTAAACACTGAGAACACATGGACACAAGAGAACAACAGACCTACTTGCGGGTAGAGGGTGGGAGGAGGGAGAGGATCAGAAAAAAAACCTGCCAAGTACTATACTTACTATCTGGGTGACAAAATAATTTGTATGCCAACCCCTCCCCCACCATGATATGCAATTTACCTATAAAACAAATCTGTACATGCACCCCTGAACCTAAAAGTTAAAAAAAAAATAGTTCGCTATCTATGAAGGATGTGGCAGATATGCAATGACAACAATAGCTGACATTTAGAGAGTGCTTCTAATATGCAACTAACCACTTCGTCTATGTATTAACTCACAAAATCCTCACAACAACCCTGAGGACATACTGTTACTTCCACAGAGCAGGAACCTCCAGGGAGAGGTTAACATAACGTGACTAAACCTGTCCAAGTTCGTAAGCGGCAGCCAGAATCTAAACCTAGATAGTCTGCTCCTGGAGCTAGGTTCTTAACCACAAAGACATTTTCTAACATTGTTAAAATACAGAAGCACAGAAAAGAGACATTTTGACCAGAATAAGGGTTAAGGGAAGGCTTCATGGATGAAGTGGCATTCGCTCTGGATCTTGAAGGTCAACAGATGGAGAAGGGTTCTGGGGAGGAAGGACTCTAACGGGGAAGGAACCGCCTGACGAAGAGGCACTTTGGGTACCAGCCAGCTGCCCACAGCAAGATCTGGTCCGCTGCGAGCAGGAAGAAGCTGGGAAGGGACGCAGCGCCCAGATCCCAAAGGTCCTTAAGCACCAGGCCTCTCTGCAAGGAACCGGGAAGGAAAATCTCAAACTATTAATAGAAGAGCGGCAGAAAGGAACTCGTGGGCACCCCTCCCTGTTGGTAGGACCTTCCCTGCCAGAGACCAAGGCTGGCAGCACAGCCACATTTCCCTCCGGGGGAAACAGCCGACCAAGGTGGTCAAGGTCGCCAGCGCGGGCTCCGGAGCTGCACGTCCCGGCCGAACACTCGCGTCCCGAGCACAGACGCTGGGGATTTGGCTGCCAGCCCGGGGCCGCCAGGTCGAGCCTGGCAGCGTCAACTGCTCGGCAGGAACACGAAGACCTGTCCTCGGGAACCGCCTCCGGCCACCTCCCTGAATCCTCCGGACCCTCGAAGGTCAAAGAGGCGGCCTCTCTGGGACTACCCCGGCTCGTTCGGCTCCTCCCCTCAGTCGGCAGACCCAAGGAATAATAGCCTCTGCGATAGGAGAACACCCTGCCAATCAATCGTAGTCCCCGCCCACGCCGCAGCCGGTGTAAATTGCATTGGTTGCATCCTTCACGGCCGCCGATAAGATTATTTCCTTGGATTGGCTAATAGCTTTCCCTCCCTCCTGTCTTTTCTTCGTCAGAAGCTGACGATTGGTTAATCGCGTTGCCAAGCTCTGGACGCGGCTCGACCATTGGAGGCCGCGGGCCCGCCCCCGCCGGCTAGGTGAAGGTGAGAGTCTCCTCCAGTCGCAGAGGCCAGACCTGACCTGGCAGCTTTGGGTGCGCGGTGAAACCTCTCGATTTCTGCTCTCTCGATATGGCGTCTCCATCAGTCTTTGCCGAGGTTCCGCAGGCCCAGCCTGTCCTGGTCTTCAAGCTCACTGCCGACTTCCGGGAGGATCCGGACCCCCGCAAGGTCAACCTGGGAGTGGGAGGTAAGGACGCAGTGCCCTGGAGTGTGAGGAGCTCGGGAAGTGGAGCGGACCCTACGAGGGTCGTGGAGACTGGGGGAGAAGCTGAGGCCAGCGTGGCGCTGCCTAGAGAGGGCGGTGCAGGAGAGGAGGGAGGATCCACAAAGGCTTCCTAAAACCTACCCATTTTATAGATGTGGGTGTGGAGTCCCTGGAAAGAGGAGATGTGTCCAAGGCCGCACAAACCAGGGTAGCAGCCAAGACACAAACTCAGTCTTTCTGATTTCCCATTCTGTGTTCTTTATACTATATAAATGGGGCTGCCGGAGCTTGTAGAGAAAGGGAGAAAAATAAGAAGGCGGATAGGTTTAGGGTTCTGGTTGCTGGGAAAGGAAGTTCTGTTCTGGGTCGGTAAATATTTGAGTGACCACAGAGTATCAATCAGGTACCTTATTAAGCTTTGGTCGGAGGAGACTGAGGCTTGATTTTGCCCTTAAGGATTAAAAAATCTGCTGGTGTTACACAATGCTTTGAGACAGGTTAATGCTGCCCCCGGCGTGTGGGCGCGGGCGGGTCTGGGAAGATGGTTCTGGCCCTCACAGATGTGGTAGGAAAGGGTAGAGATGGTGGAAAGGAGTGGAGAGAAATACGGATAGTAGAAGCTTACTTTCCACACATCCTGTCTTCATTTCTTGATTGAAGTGATTCCCATCTGGACCTTGTACAGCTCAGAGCATGTGCCTCAGTTTCCCCTTCTGATAAGAATGAGATTTGTATTGGAGTGCCTCTTAAATTTCTTTCACCCCAACCCTCTCTGATGAATTTATTATTCCTCTCAGTGTCATTTGGATGTTTGAAGCCCCATAGACACTTTCTGCATTTGGATACTGCCACGTTCAAAGATCAGCCAGAGACATGAAAGATCAAGTCTTATGCTGGGGAACAGACTTAGAATAAAAGGTCTAGAAATTGTGGAAAGAGAAGATGGAATCATTTTGTAGCAGAGTGTGACATGAAGGACATTCAGTATCAGGTTTCTCATAGATAATGTTTTGTCAGTGCATAGCATTTGTTAAGAAAAAAGAAAAAGGTCTCCACTAAGGAGTATGGGGAAGGATAAGGAAAAATCTATTAAAAAGTGATGGTTTGTTGAAGCTGGTAAGTTGTTGAAGCTGGGTGATGGGTATATGGGCATATGTTATATTATTCTCAGCTTTTGTAAAGATTTGACATTTTTCATAATAAAGCTCTTAAAATCAATCAGTACTACATAGTTTGACCCACTGAGGGAAAAGGATGTTTTTAGCAGGCAGCAGAGTTAGAAATATTGAAAGATTGCCTCAAATTGAATTTGAATGGACACCATTCGGTCTCTTAATTTAAATCCAGTCCAAAACTTCCAAGTATTTCTTTGCAGCCAGATATATACAAAGAACTAGTATCACTGTCAATCTAAATACATTATTTTAAAACATCAGATTTGGCTGGGCATGGTGGCTCAAACCTGTAATCCCAGCACTTTAGGAGGCCATGGTGGGTGCATCACCTGAAGTCAGGAGTTTGAGACCAGCCTGGCTTACATGGTGAAACCCCATCTTTACTAAAAATACAAAAATTAGCCAGGCATGGTGGTGCACACCTGTAGTCCCAGCTACTCGGGAGGCTGAGGCAGGAGAACTGCTTGAACCTGGGAGGCGGTGGTTGCAGTGAGCCAAAATCCCGTCATTGTACTCCATCCTGGGTGACAGAGTGAGACTCAGTCTCAAGAAAAAAAGAAAAAAAAAAAACACAAAAAAATGTCAGATTTAATTAACTCAATTACCTTTGCACTATCTTACAGAGTTTCTGTGAGGATTAAGTACATTTGAAGTGTTTAGAGCTGTGTCTGGCACATAAGTAGGATTTATGTAAGTGTTAGCTATTAGTGTTGTTGTTTTGGCATTTCTTGGAGTCATTCTCATAAAAGATGTTGAATAAAAATTTGAAGCTCAAGAACTGCAAAATGAACTAATTTATGACACTGGGTTATAAATAAACTGCTCATGCAGAGAAAAAGCACCCTGACAGCAGAGGCCAGAAGCTATGGACTGGGGATTATAGTTATTACCTCAGCTGTGATGTTGCCTTTTTCTGTTTTCCAGGAACTTCAGTTCCTTACCATGAGCAAATGGTTTATACATGTAATCTCATTTAATGCTCACAACTCTGGAGGGGGGTTTATTACTATTATTGTTCAGAGGCAAGGGAGCTGAAGACTGAAGAGATGAAGCAGTTTGCCCTAGGTCATTTGACACTAGGTGGTAGAGCTGGCAATCCAGGCCAGGTCTCTCAGGCCCCAGGGTCTTGTCCATGCCTCTGTTTCAGGTACCTTCAGGTGGTCCAGGGACAGCCAGTACACTGTAGTGGGAAGAGCCAAGAGACCTGGGTACAGGCCCAGCACTGTGGTCCAGCGATGTGAACTTGGAAGGGTTATTTAACATCCCTGGGGCTCAGTCTGTTAAATGAGGAGCCAAGACCTCTCTCTCAAATTCTGCTCTTAAGATTCTACTCTACTAAAAGTCTACTCCACAATTCACTAGCACATTCTCTGACTATAATGTGGAATAATAATTTTACTGCCTCATCAGTTGTCTGAGGGTTAAATGAA